CCAACGTGGAGGGAGAAAAGACAGCAGTGACCATTAATCCTTGTGCCATTGACCAATGAGATGGTGGGGCGGGGGGTTGCCAGAGCACATGAGGCTGGACTGGACAGCAGCGCTTTCAGAGACAGCTAGTTTGCAGAGAGCTTGTATTTGCGCATCCCTTTTAGAAAGACTGGATGGTGCCTATGAAACAAAAGGTTTTCCATTCTAATTTCTATCAAGACTTCAATAGAGTCACATCTTAGGCTACTCTTCCTTTAGGTCAGCGAAGAAGGTCCAGGTGATTATCTTTTTTAGATTCTTATTCGCTGGTAGGTAGGGAACTGACCCTCCAATGAATCTTAGGGTGTGTTTGTCACACCACAGGAAGCAAATCTGCTCTCTTGAGGAGGTCATCCAGAGGTACAAAGAGATTTTTTTAATGCAACTTATCTCTGAAATTTTGTAGCTGCTCAGTGATACAGAAATCCATGCTGTTTGTTATCATCAAGGCTCTAGAATCTCCAAGATGAGAAAGGATAATGGTTTATATTGTCTTAGCTTTTAGAAATGGGAGAGGTGGGCAGGGGCTAATACTGTACAAAGGACTCTGAAATATGCTGACTTTCCCCCTCTTTAACATCTGCCTGGGTAACTAACAATTCTTTGAAGGGTCCTAAAGAGGGAGAATGCCTACTACTAGGCTCCTAATAAGCCACATTCATCCGAGTTTCTGTGTATCCCCTGGGGACCAAGGCCATATGCCATAGAACACTGGAACATTGAGCCGTGGATCTTTAAGGAACACAACATGCTCCAAAGGCCATACCAGAGGGATTCAGTATGGAAACTTCACTAGGTGAACAAGGCTGTACCTCAAACACACCTGGAACCTGAGCACTTAAGACTGAAACTACAGGGTGTGTGAAGAAGCAGAAGACAGCTATATCAAGATTAAGCTGCCATAAATTAACAAGGATGTCTTTAAGGTGAACAAGAGCAGATAACAAACATAGATGTAGGAGTGAATTTGGGGCTCACAGTTAATCCTAGCACCAATCTAAGAACAAATAATTCTTATGATATGATCCTGCTCAATACTCATACTCATGAAGGAAACATAGAAGATATGGGTGCTGCTGGAGATCCCCTTGCAGAGGGGTCTCGGGGAGGAGATGAGCCAGTCAGGGTGTGATGTAACAATGATGAGAAATACAACCTTCCTCTAG